ATATAACGAAAGGAGACTGCGACCACACAAAAGGCCACACCATCTTGGTCTTCATACCTTCAAGTATTCCTAGTTAAAAAGAATTATAGCGGCCAGCAGAGCTAGAGCAATCGTCCAGCCAGATAAACTAGAAATTAAATTTCAGGAGATTCTTTAGATTATATTAAGAACTATTAAAAATGAATTAGTTGTAAAGGTGGGAGATTGGCAAGAGTAATAATAAATAAAAATAATTAGAATAATAATCGAAAACAAGTTCTCATACGAGCTATCTTCAAAAAAATATCAATAAAAATGTGATCAAATATTTAAAGCTGAAAATAGGCAGCCTATGAAAACATAACTGAAGGGATTCGGCAATGTAGAAGAAATACTTTATGATGGAGTAAGTACTAAGGAGCATAAGGGGAAAAAACAATTGTTTTTACTTCAATCAAATAGAAGAAAAAGGTAAATCTATTTATGTAAAGCCGAAATAAAATAAAGTTTCAAACTAAGAAGGATCCACAAATCCTTATCATACACAAGCATTGGGCATAATTTGTACATGAGTAGAGCAAACAATAGCAACACCATTAATAAGATTTGAAATAAAATAAGTAAATAAATTGGATCAAAAATAATTTGAGTAATAATTAACCATTTTTAAAGTTTTCATTCAAATAAAGCCGTATATTAAATAGCTGCGAGGCATTTCTAGTTTAGTTTATATGAAAAATAAGGTAAGGAAAAAATATTATTACTTAGATATGTAAAATAAAGTATTTGTTATAAAAAACAATATGAATTTTTGAGCGATATGCCTATTTCGCTGTATAGATTCGATTATACTTGTATATGAGAATCATAACTGAGCTTCGAATCTTATCTAGCCTGATATGAAGATGAAAAAAGGGAAGATGTTTCGTAAACTGCGTCAACCCTGGCGTCATAGTAAAATCAAACTACTGTAAAGCAACAGTTGCTGTTTTCCGATGAGATCAAGCTACTAAGTCCTTAAACAGACCCTTTAATTCGAAATGCAAATCACCACAACAGATCATGCTACATCTTTGCGAATAGGTTGCATGCATTAGGAGGCTCAGAAAAAAGCCAGTGGATCTGAGTTCATAAGAAAGATTGAGAGGAATGAGTTTTCAAATTGACCCTATTAAGAACTGAAATTCGTTTGGGGGATATAATTGTCGATTTGAGCATATGAACCTGGCGCAACGCTCTCCGATCCCGATAAAATTATGCTGAGCCTTCATATGTAACATGAAAGACTTAATCAGAGAAAAGACTATTCATTAATAAATTATACCAAACATTAAACCGTGAATAGTGACCGATAAATATCGTGTATGCTGTATATAAATCAGTTTTGTCATCCTAATTAAATATCTGATGAATTGCTAAACCATTCCATTGTCTTGCTTACATGGTTGCGAATCAATGGAGTTAATGCTGATGCGGCCACCATTATTGACAACGTGTTTGGGGAATGTTGCCAGTGAGTCCTTGCTGAAAATTTGTGTAATAGCATATCAAGGCTAAGCAGGACTGATAAAAGTAAAGAAAGTAAGTATTGAGTACATTTACGATGAGCTGTGAAACTAGCCTCATCAGCATGAATATGAATTAATCTTGTGCTGCGTCATCTTTTGTTGTATGTACTTCTAGGTACGTACCGGAATACAACTAATAAATGAGGTCAAGCCAGGTCCTTAAAACAAAATATTAACTTGATTTTGAATAAAGTGGATACAAAGAAAGTATTCAAAGGAAAAGAGTATGATATTTGAATTACATGGACGCCTGAAGAGTTGCAGATGAAACGACAAGTCGCAGATCCCACGGTCGCTTTCGGAGTACTTTTTTAACTAAACCAAGAAGAAGATCAGTGTGTAAAGAACGTTCATGGACTTCGTCTAGCATTATGACACGAAATCGCCGCAACAAAGGGTCACGTGAAAGCTCATGAATCAGCATGCCGTCAGTCAAAAATGTTAGGACAGTTTTCTCAGGGCAAGAGCATTCCTAAAAGATATTAGATATATTGGACACAAACTTCAAATCTTATTGAATATCCGACTTGAACACCAAGCTTCCAGTTTTTCTCCTCTGCAACACGAGTTGCCAGTGTTATCGCAGCTACTCGTCTAGGCTGCGTAATCGCCATTGTTACTCCTTGAGGATGATCCTTCGTGGGCCGGGCATTTAACCAGCCAGCTTCATATATATACTGTGGTAGCTGAGTCGATTTACCACTTCCAGTTTCTCCGGTGATCACAACAACACTAAAATATTTTGAGTGTTTAAGCAGGTTTATAATAAGTAAGATATTCAATCTTGAAGTAGCCAACAGAAAATATTCAAAATAAAAATTTGACTAGAAATAGGTATCGAAACAAGCATGAATAGTCATCCCAACAGTCAAGTTAATTCAAAAAGAGCCTCCAGAATACACAGATGGGTTTTTGTATCATATCTATAGCCAAGATGATAAATATAAGGATTTATGGGCTCCCCAAATTAGAGTAATTCCCAAAAGTTTGAGGCTGATAGATTTTCTACATTCATTATCGGCCTTGTCCATCCATTTAGCGGCTAACAGTTCATATAATACATTGAATTGACTAATCTGGAGAAGAAGAGGTGCGAAATCAGTTTGTCGTAATATATTTATGTCAAATATCTCAAATATAGGCCTAAAATACAGTGCTAAATTAGTGAAAGGCCTTGATACGGCATGCATCATGATGCCTAACTGCGTTATCTCTGCAGGTCAAGTTAAGAGAAGTTTCACAAATAAAATAAGAATGTCAGTTTTATTAAATAGGCTCTAGCTATTGAAGCCTGACAATAAATAAGAAACTATTTTAAGGATTTGTTAAATCCAAACAAAGACGCCGCCCCACACAAAGTAAAGCGTTCATAAGGGTACATCTATGTAGTGTTAATTTAAAAATACATTAATAAATATTTGCATTTTGTCCTTTGTTTGCATCTAGAGGCGCCATAAATTTGGATAAATTCAAATAGGCAATTAGTAAACACCTAATTGGTAGAATAAAAATATTAGGACAATTTCTAACATATTTGACCGATAGTATGCACACATATATGAAAATCATCATAGAATTTTTTAAATAAGAAAAATAATTATTAAATACCGGTTGGTTTCCAAGAGGTAGAGAAAGTGACTTCTCCATCTAAATACAGGCAATCTCTGCCGAAGTTGATCAATACTACTAAGTTCGTCCTTAGAAAATGCCTTCACAAAGTTATCCCCTTGTGAACCATCACAAGTGAATTCAGGAACTTCTTCTGAATATACGGCTGAAATCTCATTATCCGATGGCTTTAAGAACCTTAACGTCTTGGAGAACATGTGTAAAAGGATTCAAACGTCCTTTCCCTTTGAGGCTCATAAATAAAATTAATTAGAATAATACCGTTAAATTATAAAATAACTTTTTATTTTTAAGTGTTTAATGTTAATTAATTTATAATATATTATAAAATAAAAAAAATAAATATTAAACTTATATTAAAATTAATTTATGCTCTTTATTGTTTACTATAATTGAGGCGGTAATTATGAATGTGACA